AAAGACTATTATAATGAATATAAACAAGAGAAGCCCAATGATTACTGAGCTGCCATAGGAAATGAGATATCATAAAATGGCTGTATCTACAGCAAAACCTAAGCAGGCTGACCACTTGAGAGGGTGAAGGAAAAGATACATATATTACCAGCAGAATGAGGGAAATCACAGAGCGCAGAAGTAGTCCATCAGATGCAAGAGCTGCTAGGAAAATCTGGTTTCCTTGGGCCTAAAGTTGGGTCTTCTCCATGAACCTCCAGGTCCTGACATGATAAACAGGAAATCCTAGTTGTGCCCTTAGCCATCGGCTTCATCCTCCCATCCTCTACTCCCCAACTCCTTAATGAAGGACAGCACAATGTAGAGAAATGAGGGCCAGACTTGGAATCAATGGATGTAGGTTATAGTCCCAGCTCTGTGACTTGATAGCTGTGATTTAGGTCAGGTCCCTTAGTTTTTCTGAACCTCTGTTTTCTTATCTGTAAAATGGGCATAATCACACTTGTATTACTTGCCTCACAGAGTTACAGTGAGAATTCAATGAGATAAATGTACGTGAAAGTAGATTTGTACCATAAAGCACTAGATAAATTACTATTGCTATCATCACCAGCATGCTGATCATACTCTTTCTGCTAAGTCTAGTATTTTCAGAACTTCCCAGCTCCATACATCAATGCCTCATTACTGAAAACCAGGTGGTATAAAGCATAGAGCACTGAGTCAGGAGCCAGGAAGACCTCAATTCAAATTCAGCCTTAGATACTTACTAGCATGGTGACCCAAGCAAGTCGCTTAAACTGCTGTTGTTTGTCTTAGCTTCCTTATCTGTAAAATGGGGATTTCAGTACCTCTGCCTCCAGGGCTGTTGAGGACAAAATGAGATAGTATTTGTAAAGTGCTTTGTAAACTTTAAAGAAGTATGTAAAGATTAGCTATTATTGTGGTGGTTGTTGTTGTTAAAGGTCCATCTACTTGTGATCTTTGTTTTCTGCCCCTGGCAAAAGAAAAAAAAAAATCCATGAGGAACCAAGGAAGGGTGAACCAAGTAAGAAACCAAAGTGGAAGTGTCTTCAGCTGGAAAAGGGGGGACCAGGAAGAGTCGTGTGGATCATGTGACAGAACCAGCCGTGCCACTTCTTATACGTCAAAGATGGCAGGGAGGTAGATGATGAAAACTGGCTGGTGAAAGGAAGCCAAAGAGGAAAAAGGAACCAGTTACTCCAAATAAAAAAGGACAGATAGGCTGCCAAACATACTGTAGAAAAGTGCCGGTGACTCTGTTAAGAGGCAGTGTGATAGCATGGGAAGAACACTGAACTTGGAGTCTGAGGACCCGAGTTCATATGCCTCTTTGGCTATCTCATAGCTGTGTGACCTTGTTGATTTAGGTTATTTCACTCCTCTATAAAATGAGAGAGTTTAGTTCAAATCCTGAGTCAGGCACTAACTAGCTCTGTGAACATGGGCAAGTCACTGACCATCTTCCAGCCCCAGTTTCCTCATCTGTTTACATATATATATATATATATATATCTCCTGATCTCGGGATAATAATAGCACTTACCTCACAGGGTAGTTGTTAGGCTCAAATGAGATTATCTAAAGCACCTTGTGAACTTTAAAGCTCTATATAAATGCTAGCCATCCTAAAGTCTCTTCCAGTTCTAAATCCATAATCCCATGACCAGAAGATTTTAGGGTAACTAAGCTACTTTAATAAGTCACTGAAAATTAAGGCAAGATTATAGTCGGAAAATACTCTGAGACTAAAAAGATTCTTTTTTCATTCCTTCTGTCTTCTTCCCTCTCATCTCCCCTCCACAAATAAAGGGAAACAACCCATCTTTAAAAGAAATAGTTAATAATTATAGTTAACTAGTGCCCAGACGGTAGAAGAAGGAGTAAATTTGAATAGCCAGGAGAATAAAACTCCAATCTCTTGCAAAGAATTTCTAACAGTGCTGAAAATAGAGACAGGCACTGACCTGTGGGATGGATAAACAGCAGTGGGGAATGGTCTGACAGTGACTGCTGAGAACCAAAAACCGGGCGATGGGGAGAGGAGCTAGGCAACCATAATCACAGGCCCTGCATAGAAGGATCAGGGAATCATTTGAGAAAGACACCATTTGAGGGAGAAGATGAGGTCATGGCTAGTTTCACAAAAGGCAGTGTATGTGTATGTATACATACACACATACGTATATACAAATACATATATACACATATCTCATATATACATAAATCATATGTATATGATTATATAAAAGGAAGAAGATCAAGGGAGAATAATTTCAATGATAAATGTGTTAACAGACCTATGGTATTTAGCAAACAGTTGAGAAATTAGGTCCTCCTTTTTTCTTCCTGGGAAAGGAAAAGTTGATGAAGTACCGGCTAACACAATATACAGAAAAGAACAGAAAAAAAGGTGCCCAGAGTTAGTAAATGGAAGTCATATCTCTGAACTGTTAATCTCAAATTAAGTGAAGAGTAGGCATGATACTCAAGAATTCCAATAGCATTTCTTAAGATGCTGATTGTCCAGGGAACAAATGTTGGACATCTGAGTACAGAAGAAGAGGATTCAGGGATTCACAATAAATCTGGATCCAAATCTTTGTGAGATTGTGACAACTGATAAATGAATGAGAGAGAATGATTAGAAGGAACATTCTGGTTTGTCTTTCCTATGGCTCCTACAACAAAGCTTTGACACTTTTTAGAGATAATAGACTTCTCCCTTCTTTTCCACCAAATTAATCCAGGAGAAAGACTACAAAAGACTCTCAAAGCCCAATCCAGAGTTCACTAGATTTCTTGTCATTTAATCTTTTAATCTCAGAGTGTATAAAATCCATGCCCTAACTACTCTCACTAAATTCACACATAGGTCAATGATAGCCAACCAAACCTGTTTTAGAACACAGAAAGGATAATTTGGCCAGAAAGCCAACTTGAGTCAATTGCTCCAGGATGCCTTTCTTGACCGTTTTAGTCCACTTCTTATGCTATAAAAGGGATTGGATTTAGTCAGGAGACTTTGGCTTGAGTTCTGTTTTGCCACTTAATAACCTCTGTGAACCTGGGCAAGTCACTTAAATTCCCTGGGAAGTTAGTTTAATTGTACCACATGAGAGAATTGAACTAAGCGGCCCTCTGGGACCCCTTCCAGTTCTAACTCCACGATCCAAGGATCCTAAAACACTTCCCTTTTCTGAGCCTCAGTTTCCCCATCTGTATTTAATCCTAGGTTAAAGAGCTCCTCCAAGAGATGTTAGTTATAATACCTTTCAGAGAGAAAGAATTGCATCTTGGGGACTTAGAATTAACCGTCATATTTTAGAAATTGCATGTGAAGCACTGAGGACTAAGAACCTCTTTGATGAGGACACCTGGAGAGTTAATTCTCATGGAGAAGGAGTCGGTGAGAGACTAGAGTGAATTGGGATGATAGAACTAGTCTGTGAGGGACTCAGTGAATTTACTGTCATCTCTGAGAGAATCTGAAGAGTTCATTTAACTCATTCTGTGGAGAACGCCTGAGGAGAAAGCCTGAGAGGCATTAGCTCTCACTCTGAGACAACTAACAGATAAATGTGGTTCTAGCGTTTTTTTTTTTGACAGGTTAGCAGTTGCAGCTGTTGATTAAAAACAAATCCCCTCCTTCCCCCACCTCAAAAAACAAAGAAGCGACTATGATTTTTCTCGCAGACAACACATCATTGAAATACTTATCTATGTCTTGGTATTATTTGTTATTATTAATAAATTATGTAGCTAATAACAGTTGTGTTTGTTTAAGCCTATAAATTTGGGACTTGAGACAAAGAGGAGAGAGAGCTTTTTGGAAAAGACTCCCTAGTTTTACAGGGGAGATGAAGAGAAAGCTTAGGAATAATTAACTAATTAATAAGGGACATTTTGCACGTTTCATTACTTTCTGTGATAATTCCCATTCATATCTCTTAGGTAGCCTTTGTACCTTGTGAGAGAATTAATAGGGTAATAAACCAGTAGCAAAGCTGAAGTGTTGGAATTTGGTGTGTTTGTACTTGAGAACACGTGAGAAGTATTACTTTCCCCTTGAAAAGCACACACCCATACCTTCATTTATGGGGTTGCTACAAGTGGGTTAGCAAAAACCCTGCAATATATAAGATGAGGCAATTGTTCAGTGGTATCAAACCCAAACTGTACATAAGGGCCCCTGGGGGCCTCATGTTGACACAGATAACTGAATATTATCTATGTTTTGTTTAATTTCTTTATTTAAATTTCTTTCATTAATTCATTATTTTGTCAAATATTTTCCAATTAAATTTTAATATGTTTTGGACCTCTCTTGAGAGTGTTTTACAGGTGGCCACCAGGCTACGTGTTGGACATTTCTGTACTAGGTGATCTCTATGGTCCTATCTCTAAGTTTTATGATCTTACTGTGATCTTTCTCCTTCCACTTTTACTTTCTGTGCCTTTCATTAATTTTGTTCTGATCATATAATTCTTTGCATCCTATTTAGTTTGTATGTCTGAGGACAGGGATTTCTGATTATGCATCCCTCATAGAACTTAACACAATGATGTATACAAATTAGCTGTTTCATTGATGTTTTGTTGATTGATAATCTTGTCAGGCTCAGATCGAACGCTGAAAATGTGGGTTTTGGAGAATAAGTTAGAGTCAAGAATCGATCTGACAAGGAGCCCTATATGCCTTTCCAGCATGAGCTAGGACAGACAAGTTTTCCACACAATTAACTTCACTAATCTTGGTGTTGGAAACAACAAAAACAGACTTTAAGTGTGGAAAACAGTAAAACGTGGGGAACACTGCTGGAGGGAGCTTGACTGAGGCTTTCCTAATTTGAATATTACACATCAAAATAGAGCCAGGAAAGGCAGGTCTCAGTTTGACATAGAAACCACTGTGGTGCTCTCCCCGGGAGAAGATATATGTCAGTTGGTAATGTTAACAGCCTCATTTGTGATATTACCTGGAAAACCGGTTTTACTGGCTTCTGTCGGGGGTCACTGAATGTGCCTCCCATCAGGCTGTCTTCCTGGAGTCTCCCCAGAGGGTTCATTCTCGGGGCCAGGGGGAGCTAGGGTTAAGGGAACTTCAATGAACTGGGCTCCTGGATCATTCAAAGATGTCCATTTCACTCGTCAAAGTAATTCTGAAGGAAAGAAGAAATACAAGAATCAGTCAAGCTCTAACCCTCAGGTCCTGAACTCAAAGCACATCCTCAGCTTCCAGGGAGCTTAACAAATAACACCTGCCCTGTCATTGGCTTCAGACTTAACTCAAAGCCAAAGCTACTGAATGTACATGTAATTAAAGCCGGAGACGCAGCTCTAGCTTCCTACTAGAGTCCTGATTGAGGGAGAGGTTGAATTTTCTATCATATTGTTTTCTTTTGCTTTCCCCTAGTGTATGAATCCAATGAGGATTGGTAAGGAAAGGTTAAAGGACTTGGAGGTATTTAACTTGGAGAAGAAAAAGCTAAATGATAACTTAATAAACATCTTATAGCATAGCTAGGTGGCAAAGTGGATAGAATGTTGGGCTTGGATTCAGGAAGACTCATCTTCCCAAATTCAAATCTGGCCTCAGACACTTACTAGCTGTGGGACCTGGGCAAGTCACTTAACTCTGTTTCCCTCAGTTTCCTCATCTGTAAAATGAGCTGGAGAAGGCAATGGCAAACCACTCCAGTATCTCAGCCAAGAAAACCCAAATAGGGGAGTCAGACATGGCTAAAAATGAATGTGTAACAAGAGCACAGCAGGAATTTTAAGAGGCCACTGATCAATTTTCCCCCCCATTTTTAACAGCAAGAGATTGTTCAGTGAGAACCAGCTACCATTTTGGACCATTGAGGGTAATGAAACCCAATGTTTTACACAGAGAAGGCAACTGGTAAATATTTGGTGCTATTGTGAAACACTGAGCATGTACTCTAAGAAGTCATGGAATGCCATTGACATATTTGAAGGCTAAAGTGTCCTACTTGAGGGTCAGCTAGGTGGCGCAGTGCATAAAGCACTGACCCTGAAGTCAGGAGGACCTTAGTTCAAATTCGGCCTCAGACCAAACACTTGACACTAGCTGTGTGACCCTGGGCAATTCACTTAACCCCAATTACCTTAAACAATAATAATAATAAAGTGCCCTATTTGATACAAGTGAAGCCACCTGATGGAAGGAGGCTGAAGTGGAAGACCTACAGAAATCTTTTTCACCTCTGGCTATAGGATAGTTTTTCCTTACTAAAATGTCAGTTCTAGAGCCAAGTGTAGTTGTAAGCAGAATTCAACCAATTTCATTCAATAAGTATTTATTAAACACCTACCACATGCAAAACACTGTGTTTGCTGCTGGAGTTTCAAAGACAAAAATGAATACTAAAGGATGTATTAAAGGAGCTTGCATTCACCTTGGGAGATACGTCATCATGTGTACATACAGGTAAATATAAGGCCATTTAAAAAGGGAGTGAGCATTAACCGGGGTGGAGAAGATGACGTGGAGAGATTCCTCACAGGAGATGACACTTGAGTTGAGGCAGAGATGAGGTGGGAGTGCACCTTTGGCATGGGCCATAGATAACCTATGGAGTCTTCTTACCTTTGATTTATCCCTTTGCTATATCCAGTATATCCCCAAACCTGTTGATTTTTCTTTGCAAATGTTTCTCAGAACCAGTCCTTTTCCATTCTCACCTGTTCAAGACTGCCTTGATGCTCAAGTTGTCCCCCTTGCTTAGAATGACCTAGTCCTCTCTGCCTCTCCAAATTTAATCAGTTCTTCAAGGGTCAGCTAAGTTCCACCTCCTCAAGGAAGTCCTTCCTGGTTATTCCAACCCATAGTGACCCGTCTTTTCTTCTGTGATTACAATCTCTATCACACAATGATTTATTTTCTTGTTTGGTTCATTTTTGTGTCATTTGAGAAGGAGTGTGGCACAATAGATGGGTGAGGGGAGGCTATTGGACACATGGAGGACTTGCGAAGTCGGGACGGGATGAATTTAGCTTTCCTGGAGGTCGACAGTACCATAGTTTAGAGCAAGGAAGAGTATGAAAGCCCATTTGAACATAAAGGGTATCCTATCACACCACATAGGGAAAATGAAATATCTTACTCAATCTGGTCTGATGAGTGTTCATTGAAAAAGAGAAGGTTGGACTTCTGTGGGCCCTCACATTTCCCCCCATTCTTCAAGATTTTGGTTTAGGCAAGCTTAAAGCCTCATTTTACCTCATCTGGAGCTCTCCCAATCAATCTGTATTTCCTTGTTACATTTTTCTAATTTTTTTTTCATGTGCTTTTGGTCATTTCTAGGGAATGTGCCATCCCCAGTATCCCCAGTATTGTTTTTGATGTTTGCAGAGAAGGGGCTTCTTTCTTTTCTGCTTTATAACCTTTCATTTAATTCCCAAAGACAAATCCCTAAGCTCCATTTTCCATTCAATCCATTTACCATTTCCTGGTTCATAAGGTCAAGTCCCAGCCTAACTTTCAGTTCCTTGCAGTGATACACCCACTACTTCAGTATAATACCAGCAAAAGGAGAATAATAAGCAACAGAATGTTCAAAACAGTATGAGCCCAAGTTTTGAAACAGCTTTGTTTTTTTTTTTTTCACCTAGCTGGTTCATCTCCTTTCTCTCCATGCTGATAGATATACATAATGTGCTTTCTGTTTTGAAAAACATTTGTGCAGATGGTGAAGAACAGGCATTTAAGATATAAATACCATAAGAAGCTGTATGGGAACACACATACAGTGACTTAAAAATAATCTTCAAAACATAACTAGCAATTGCCAAACTTCTGCCGAGAAGCTCATTTGGCATCTGCCTAACCTCTGCTATCCCCAGTTAAGTTTTATATAGAGACTTGTTCCCATGCTCTGCAGATAACCCACTTTCTTGGTCTTTCTAACAGTCTCTGAAGCCTTCTTTTGAGAATGTTCTTCCCAGTTTTACTAGACATTTCTCTCTAGAGCATAGGGGCTCTTAACCATTGTAGTGTCACTGATCCCTTTGGCAATATGGAACCCTTTCTAGAAAAATGTTTTTACAACCATAAAATGAAATCTGAAGAATTAGAAAAGAAACCAATTATTTTGAAGTAAAGATGTATATTTTCCCATCCAAGGTAATGGACCTTCTAAAATTGGTCCACAGATCACTCATGGAGTAGTCGAGGTCTCTGGATCTTAGGTGAATGATCTCTGCTCTAGTATTATAAAGAAAATCTTCTGGTTCCCGACCACCTCTGTAGGAACCATAGGTAGAGCTCTAAGGAGTCTCTTGGACCTGCTCTGAAAAGCTCTGAACCTTTATCACCTTAATAAATCACCTCACTTCAGAACCTTGCTGTGGCATGGGAATGGCCCTTAGATTCTCAAAGGCTTTACTAGTGCAACATAAACTCTGGCAGGACCTACCAAGCTACAGATATTGTGGACTACAGACCCAGTGATAGTTCATACGTGTGTTACCTCAACATAGCCCTAGCTAAGCTCTGGGAGCACCTAGAACATGTTGAGCATACGGTGAGATTTCATACATACATATATACACATTTAAACTAAGAAGTATAGAGGCTCATAAGCGAGGGTTGTGTGCTGAAAATGACAAATGGGTTTGTCTAGAACTTTGATTTAAAGTCAAAGGACCTGGGTTTGAATCCTTGACCTACTACTTACTATGTGACCTTGAACATCCATCTCTCCTTTCTTAGCCATAGGTTCTTCAGATCTGCAAAATGAGGACATTGGACTGGATGATCCCTAAGGTTCCTTAACATCTTTACTCATTCATGTCTAATGTCAGAGGTGGTAGAGACAAAGGAAGCACAAGGCTGGGAATTTGGATTCAATGTGAAAGCTAATGAGGAGGTCTCAATATGAGTTAAAGGCACGTTGGGGAGGCTGCCAGTCCACTGACAAAGCTCTGATGGCTATTCTACAATACCAAAGAAGGTAGGGGAGAAGAATTCAGAAGTCTGGGTATTAGTCTAGACCTACAGAAGCCCCTAGATAGTGTAGGATAATGGCTGTGATTATTTTTTCCCATTTCCTTGGGCTTAAAGAGATCATTGGACTTTGAATGAAAGAGAACTGGCTTTGAGTCCTAACTCTGATGCTTATTAGCTCTGTAAACTCTCTGAACTACATGTGACCTAGTACCCCAATCTCTGTGCCTACATGGACTGGGTTCAGTACTGGATGGAGAAGAAAGGACTGCTCAACCATCTTGTGCTCAAGAGGCTGGCATTGCCCTGAAATTCTCCCGAGAAGGCCAGCATCCTGAACTTTTCAGAGTCTTGGCATTTTCCAGGATATCCTCCCTCCTCTAAGAAGTTTGGTCATATGGCTTCAACCTTTGCAAGGGGCTATATGGTGGGGAGATTCTGCTCCTGTTTCTCACTGCCATTGGAAACTCCAGGCATGTGGGAGGAGGCTCTTCAAAATCCCAGCCTCTCCTCTTTTCCCCTCGGCTCTGCTGATCTCAGGACCTCCATCCCCAAAAGGGGAAAATAAAAGATGACTTTGAGACTGACTGCCCCCTTTTTTTTTTTTTTTTAAAAATAGGTTCTCATACCAAGGGTTGGATATGAGCTATACTGGAGAAGGAAATGGCAAACCACTCCAGTATCTTAGCCAAGAAAACCCCAAATGGGGTCATGGAGAGTCAGACAGGACTGAAACCACCGAACAACAACCTGAACTCAACAACAGCTTGGGCTGTTGGCCAAGCCACTCAATTCATCTCTAGTGGCTAAAACTTGATTACAGATCATCAGTGGGGTTTACAAGGATTGACATATACCCAAGCCCAAGAGGTGGAAACTGGTTTTCTCCTAGTGGGCAGTCCACTCCTTCCATAGGGAGATACAATTAAAGACTTATCTCCCTACAACCACACCATATTGATACAAATCATAGTCCTTCCCCAATCAACCCTGTAGACCTACAAGATGTGGGTGGTGGAGGATACTTAGAGGCCTTCATAATTTGGTTTTAATTTCTCTTCCCCAGCTTTATTTTACATGACTTTCCTTCATTTATGCTATTTGATGCAAACCAGACTATCCGTTCTTCCCCAGTGGTGACCTCACCATTCTAGGCCTTCACAAGCTGTTGCCAAAGTTTGTACCACTCTCTAGGCCTTTCTCATTTCCACTGCTCAGGATCATTATCTTTAAAACTCTGTTCAGATATCACCACCTCTATGAAGCACTTGTCCTCGATCCTCCCTGATCACAGGGGATAGCTAGGTGATATAATGCATAGAACATTGGACCTGGAGTCCAGAAGACCCGAGTTCAAATCTGCCCTCAGACATTTACTAGTTGTGTGACCTTCAATGAGTCACTGGTGACTTAACTTTCTGACTCAGTTTCCTTATTTGTAAAATGGGGACCCAGGGTTGTTATGAGAATCAAATGAAATAGTATATGTAAAATGCTTTGTAAATTTTAAAGCACTTGATAAGTGTTATTGTTATTATTTTTCCCTCACAACAACTCTGAGAGGTAGGTGCTATTATTATCCCCATTTTACAGTTGAGGAAACTAAGGCAGACAGAGGTTAAGTTATTTGCCCAGGATGCCTGTTAGTAAAATGTCATAGCTAAGACCTGAACTCAGATAATCCTAATTCCAAGTCTAGCAAAGGATCCATTATGTCACCCAGCTGCTTTGTATACCGTAAGGCATTAAAAAGACGTGAGCTGTTGTCACGACCATTATTCTTTTTCATCAAGCTCAGAGGCAATACGGAGTATTAGAAAGAATACAAGATTTTGAGGCAGAGGAGTGGGTTCAAATACCAGTTCAGCTGCTGACTGCTTTGAACAAGTCATCTCACCTCTCGGCTACACTCTGCTCACCTATAATATAGATCCTGGAGGCAACCCCAACTCACACTCAGGCTCCCAAGACAAGACTCCTTCCTAGGTTCAGTCAACAAGCATTTGTTAAGAAGTGACTGTGTGTTACGTCCTTATTAAAGCTCTCTATTTCTCTAGCTTACGATCAGAAAGTCTGTGTAATTCACTGCTTAATTAATTTCTTTTTAAAAATTTATGGGCCTGCATCCAGTCAGAACCCTAACTTATCAGCCTGAACCACTGTGCAGTATTTCTTTTCTAGTCAGTCAGAGGATAAATTAATTAAAATCAAAAGTGTTTCATGAACTGGCAGAGAAAGAAATGAAATAATAAAACATTTCACCCATAAACTTAAGGGCTGGCCTTTTGCAAAAACACACACCAAAAGTGAGGAACAGATGCTTGTTGAGTACATAAGGAGAGAAGAATGCCTAAAAGGGACATGTGTGGGCAGGGTGTACAAGGACCTCTCACCCTGCAACGGTGATGTCATTACACTGCTGTTCCTCAGTGGTCTAGACTGCAGTGCATTCTCTGCTGGGTCTCTAGTCTCTCTCAGACCTGTAATCCGCTGAGCGTTGCTCCCTACCCGTCTCCTGTTTCTACTGCTCAGCGTAGCTGTCCTGGTCCCCTGTCACCCCCAGAGCTGGCGCCATTAGCCACCTAACTGCAGTTTCCCTCCGTTTCTAGCTTCAGCTGAAATGCTATATTTTTCTCTATAGTGCCACAGCTCTTTTAGGTTAAAGCCGCAAGGCTTCCCTTGCTATAGCTCTTTTTATAAAGAGGAAACCTGAATATACCCAATCATGACTAATAAAAAAGTCCTTCTTGAGGAACAGCCTGTCAGCTTCTCCTGGCCTTGGCTAGGATGGGCTTTCTTTTCCAGAGAGAGAGTCTTTGCCCTAGGCAATAAGCTCTTTGGGACACAGAATAAATCTGTTCCTGGATTACAAGTGCTCAGAGGCTTAGATCTATTTTTTGAATGGTATTTTCTGGTCACTGAAGCCTTCTGTCAGTCACTCAGTCAAGAAACATTTATTAAGAAGTGACGGTGTTAGGGTTGTGTCTTTATTAAAGCTCTCAATTTCTCTAGTTTAGGATTAGAAAGTCTGAGTGATTCACTGCTTAATTTCTTTTTAAAATTTTTTTATTGTATTCTGAAGTTAGGAAATAAAACAAGCATTTTCATAATAGTAGAATAGAAAAAACATCGCATGAAACTGCGAATCTATTATGTACAACTTGCTATTTCTTTTAAATATATAACAAAGTTACCATGCAACTTTCTTTGTTTTTTCCTTTTTTTCTTCCCCTCCTACCATTAGACGCAAATATGTGTATGTATGTATACATGTATACATGCATACATATATATGTAAACTCATTCTAGACACACTTTTATTTATCAGTTCTTTCCCTGGATGCAGATAGTGTCTTTCTTAATAGGTCCTTTGTAGTTGATTTGGGTATTTATAATAGTCAAAATGACTTGGTTGCTCAAAGCTGTTCTTAAAACAATATTGCTGTTACCGTATACAATGTTCTCTTGGTTCCGCTCATTTCACTCTTCGTTATTTCATGTAAATCTATCCGTGTTTTTCCAAGATCATTGAGCTCATCATTTCTTATAACACAGTAATGTTCTATTACAATCATATACCACAACTTGTTCAGCCATTCCAATGCTTAATTTCTGACTGAGGGTACTGTGCCCTGAAATTCATGTCAAGGGAGCTTTGCCACAGAGATTGGAGGGGGGGGTCTGCTCCCTTGCTGCAGGTAGTTTGGGGCCCAACAACATGCTTTTTATCTGCTTTGCAAATGAATCTAAACAAGCACAAAAGCTGAGCCTAGAGGGCAAGGTCATCAACCAGACATATCCTTGACCTTTTCTGTGTACATTCATCAGCAAAGCCATTTAAGCCTTTGGGTCTACCCTCTGAAAAATAAGGGGGTTGTAATATTCTTAGCATTGCATTTTAGGGAAAAAAAACCACTGATAAGCTGGAGAGTGTCCAGAGGAAAGTGACCAAGATGTTGAAGAGTCTTAAGTTTGTACCATATGTTGTTCATTCTTTTCAGTCATGTCTTACTCTTTGTGACCACAATTGGGGTAGTTTGCCATTTCCTTCTCCAGATCATTTATAGATGTGAGGAAACTGAGGCAAACAGGGTTAAATGACTTGCTCAGGATTGTACACCTACTAAGTGTCTGAGGCCAGATTTGAGCTCAGGAAGATGAGTCTTCCTGACTTCAGGCCCAATACTTCATCCACTGAGGATTGGCTAGAGAAATTGGGGGTTTTAGCTTAGAGAAGCTTCGGAGAGAGCTGTCAGTTTTCTCCTAAGTACCTGAAGGGCTGCCACGCAGAAAGGGAGGATTAGATTATTCCTGCTTGACACCACAGGGCAGATTTGGCAGCAATGGGTTGGAGGTTATGGAAAGGTCAATTTTAGATTTAAGAAATTTAGTTATAAAATGTAGAAATAACAAAACACAGTCCCACAGTGGAACGGGCTGCCTCTGAAGACAGTGCTTTTCTGATTCTGGGAGGTCTTCTAGGAAAGGCTGTATGGTCACTTACTAGTGTGTAGATAGATTCTTTTTCAGCTTTGGGATGGACCAGATCGACTAGCTGAGGTCTCTTCTAACCCTGAAATTCTATGATTCTGAATATCTAGGTAGTTTCTAAGGTCCCTTCCTTCTAGCTCTAAATTCAATTTTAAAAGATTTTATTAAACACTTCCAATGGGCCAGGATCCATGATAGGCACTGGGGTGCAAAGAAAAAGAAAACAAAACAATCCTTGGCCTCAAGAAACATACATTCCATTGGGGAGTCAGGGAGAGGAGGCAAAAGATAACATATTAGATTAAATATATAATATATAAAATTTAATATTTAATATGTACAAAGTAATCTCTTAGGTGGAAGGCACACAGATCTAATATGAAGGATAGTTAGGGGGTGCAGTGGATAGAATATTGGACCTGGAGTTAGGAAGACTCATGTCTGTGAGTTCAAATCTGGCCTCAGACATTTACTAGCTGAGTGACCGTGGGCAAGTTACTTTACCTTGTATGCCTCAGTTCCTCATCTCAGAATCATGGGTATGGTCATGCCCTTCACAATCGCAATGATAATATTACTCAAACATCATTCCTTGAGTAAGAGGGGTAGGCAGCAAGTACTTGAAGTAGCAGAGTAGATGATGAGTCTCTGTTTCTTCCTGGCTGCTAGCCAAGGCAGGCCTTCTTGGAGTCCTGGTGACTGGAAGGTTATAGAAAGATGACGTTATTTTGAGTACTTACTATCTAATCTTTACCACGATCAGCTCTGCTTCTGGGTTCATGTCATTGTTGAACAGATTATTAGAGGGATAGTGGCTTGGGTGGAGGGGCCAAGGTGGCAAGAGGACACCGCTCTAGTCTTCTTACATAGCATGGTGTCAAGCCAGAGTCAAGCTAGGATTAGGTCAATATGCTCTTGGTAGGAGTTTCTGAGGTTTGCTGGGCACTTATTCCAGACAATGAGTACCACCTCTCATTTGGTTTCCTACCAACTCATTCACTCACTCAATTAACAAACGTACATTAAGCACCTATATTACATGCCAGGCACTGTGATAAGTGCTAGGGACATAAAGAGAGCAAAAAGACAGTCCTTACCTTCAAGGAGTTTACGATCTAATGGAATATTCCACTCTTTCCAATTTACTTAACCAAATGGAAGGAAATCTAGAACTATATAATTGGTGGGTCTATAAAAAGTAATGATACTTCTAAATGAATACTATAGAACACAGAGCTGCAAGAGATCTCTGAATCCCGGCCTCCTCTCACCCCCATATTTTACGAATGAGGAAATGAGCCAAGAAAAGTTTAGCATCTTGTCTAAAGCCACACAGGTAAAAAACAGCGGAGCTGAGATTCAAACCTAGGCACTTTTATCTACAAATAAACACATTTTCTTTCATACATGTTGCTTCCATAAGTGTGCATGTATATACATATGAATTCATATATATATCACATATTATACATATGTAATACACATATGCACATAGCTAATTCCGATTGGGGGGGCTAGGGGCATGGCCCTCTTATACCCCACAATCTGGAAAATTTGCATAAAATTTTTGGGGGCCCCCCATACCAGAGAAGAAGTCTGAATTTTTTCTTTTTCTTTTATGGGGTGTTTACAGCACCTTATTGTAAAATTTGGTTTGACATTATACAATACTACACATATATTTTATGCATTTCTGAGTTTTGAAATTTTTTTCTGTGTTGTCTGCTGCCTCTGCACGTCGTCTGCGGCTTCCCCAAAACTCCTCCAAAATTCCCATTTAATTTTTTATGTCAACCCATGATATATTGAAACCTCAATGGGGAAAGTGGTAGTGTGGAAGGGATAACTGTATATGATTTTGGCTGAGTGGATACAAATGCATTGGGCAAGTCATTGTACCTCCCTGGGCCTGGTTTTTTTCAGTCTGCAAAATGAAAGGGTGGAACTAGATGGTCCTTGAGGTTCCCTTCTGAGGCTGGACTCACAGTTCTGCCTCATTTAAATCCAATTCATTTGCAAGACATCACCCTGTGATGTCACTGGTCTTTGAAAAGGAAGGACAGACAAAAACAAAGGCAGCCACAGCAAATCCCTGTTCCTGTCCAGAGCCTGTGGCTTTTCTCCTTTCATTTTCTTAGCAGTGGCAAATCTGAAGGCGGGTTTGCTATTTTGCCAACACCCTAATATGTAAGAACCAATCCCAATGTGTTTAAAATAACCAGAAGTAGCCTCCAGAGTGTTGGGTGCTGTTTATGGAAAGACATAGGCATGAATAACATCATGAGGAGGGGTTATCATTTACATCAGGGGAGAGAGTTCCCAAATCAGTGAGAACCTGCGTGCATGAACTGATGATGGCATTTCTACATCCAAATTAAGAAATACCTTCCCTTAAAGGTAGTTCATTAGGAAGGCCACACACTGCACTTGATATAGCCATTTTCCTGGCTGTTTTTGGAAATGCTTTTAGAACCTATGGCATCCTCTTTCATTTCTTCATCGCAAATCTTCACAGTTTGAGTAGGGATTAAATTTTCTTGGAAACAATTTAAAATCCTTCAGAGACCAGAACAGCAGGTAAACAAGGGGTGTGGTCAATTTCAGTCAAATTTAAATGAGGCATGGCCAAAGTCATGAGATTCATTTCTGTGGTATGGTTAATAACCTGCATCTGAAGGCAATTCCAAAACAAATCAAACAAACCCCAAAACCCAGCCTCTGCCTGACCCTTTTCGGTTAATGACAGCATCACTGAAATAAGTCCACAACCACTCCAGGTGACTATTTTGAAAGGCAAGACCCATCTGGATGTATTCTAGTTGGTGAAATCAGCTCCACAAATAGATTGAGGACAGTTATGGTGAGCAGGTTTACTTATCAGTAAATTCATTCCAATCTAACAGCCTTTATCAAGTATTTGTTATGGTCAAGGCACTGCACTGGGGAAGGAGGAAGATAAAAAATTAACATGCCCCGTGATCTCAAAGAGCTTATATTCTACTGTAAGAGAGCAATCTAGCTGATAATATTCAGAGAAGTATAAGGGAAAGAGCTTTGGAGGCTTGGGTCTTACTTAGCTCAGCCACTAATTAGTTGTGTGACCCTGGACAAATTTCCTCATCTATAAAATGAAGGGTATTTGAAATAGGTCAGTTCTTATAGCCAGCTTGAAATATCTAAATTCTATTCTTCCTTAGTTTACAGGACAACCATTGAACTGGAGGCAACCGGACCACTTCTCCCTTTCCCAGGATGCTTCACTGCTCCCCTCCCAACAAGATTGAAGCTCCTCGTCCCCCTCTGGTCTCACACTCCCAAAGGTGCCCCAGTTTCTCATGGCAGTGACCCCCAACATAAGAAAAGCTCAGTTATATGGGCTGAGTTTCATTCTGACTTTTCTGGAGGTCATTTGCACCTGAAAGTCAGAGTGAAACTTAGAGGGTTGGGAACCCACGCTGACTGCCCCCGTGTCCTGTGGCCCTCCTCCTTGCTCCTCCCCTATTGACACATTTTTTTCTCTCTGACAAATTTAACCAGGTTTCTGCAAAACAAAACTCTGCCTCCTCCTCCGTATATGCATGCTTATATTGTCTCTCTCTTTCCTCACTCTTACTTCCTATCTCCCCTACTGAGGCAGCCTCCTTGAAGCTCTGTCTCCTGCAAATATCATGGTGCTCCTCCTAGTCGGTACCCTGAACCTCCATGCCTCCCCCGGCTGTTCTTATTTTCCTTCCCTATACTTCAGGGAAACTGCCCAACTTAGAGGAACTGCTCCAAAATTAGGTTTGGTTTCATGCCCTTTTGACTGCAAAAAGATCACTTTTGTTTACCTTTCCCCTCCTGTCTCACCTTCTGGGGCTAAGGGCAGTTGCACTGCCCGGACCGAAAAGATCTGACTTTTTTTGAATGAGTTATAGGAATGGCCAAGGCCTAGCAATTGAAGGGCACCGTCAGGTCACTGCCACCCACAACTCCTTACTGGCATTTGATTATTATTATTTGAGGGGAGGAGGCTGGGAAAGACAGATGAAAGGAATCCCTTCCCCCCCAGCCCAGCTTACAATACACTGTAACTCAATGTGTGTGGATAGGAACTTAGCCATGGGCAGCCGCCAAAGAGCTCCAAGTTTTCACAGGATGTACTTGGAAAAAAACAATATATTATTGAAAAGGGCTTGTCAGTTAGCCAGCCGGCCTCTGTCCCGTCCTAACATTGCATCCTCTCCTCTCCCCCAGCCTCAATCTGTATCCCTGGCCTCCAACAGTCTCATTCCTTCTCACTGTTTTAGTAAGAGTTGCATAGGAGTAGTTTTCACTTAGGAACGAGGATATTTAAAAGACCTGAAAATAGAACTGTAAGAGTAGCTGATTTAGAAGAGATTGCCCATTTCAGTGATCAAATGCTGTGAAACAGTTGGCTCTCTGAACCTAGGGAATCTCTGAACCCAAGGCTGCCAGGTCAGCCTGACCTGAACTTGACTAGGTAGGCAGGTGGAAGGGTGATACATTCCCTTAGCTCAACTTCCCTTTTTTAGCTTGGGCTTTTTGTTTTTTTAACCCAAGCAGTGAGCTTTTGTTGTAGTATTTTGAGAAATAGGAGGTGATGACAGGTATGAAATGAGGATGGTGGGGACAGCAAACTGACCCACTGAACTAACAGGGGCCCCTTTGGGAAGTTTGCAGTAAAAACAGACCTGGATTTGGGAAGCAGAAAATTCTGATTTCAGGTTCCAGCTCTGCCACTTATTTTACTGTGGAACTTCTGGCAAATTATGTTGCCACTATGAGCTTCCTCAGTTTCCTTCTCGGTACAATGAGAGAGTTAGATCATGTGATCTCCAGGGCTCTTTCCAGTTCTGATCCTATGAACTTTTAACTTGGATAGTTTCATAACAGCAGAAAGTGCTGCCCTGCTAAACAGTGATATTAGGGGGGATATTGTAGCAAGATGGAAGCAAGATAAGACCCTTTTTTATTTTCTTAACTAAGTCTTGTTAGGACCAAGTTAATAGTAGGGCTCTTGCCAAGTTACATGGAAATATCAGGGGAAAGGATCCCCATTCTCCCAACCCCAGACCCATATCACTTATACTACTCAAAATGTTGAGTCTGATGTTAGGAGGTGAGGCAGATAAAATACAGGAATTGGAGTTAGGAAAACCCATGTTAAATTCTACTTCTGACTCTTAATAGGTGTGTGACCATGGGCAATTTTCTCTCTCTCTCTGTGTCACTCTCTTTTTAATTTAATTTTTAAAACATTTCTCTCATGTAACAGTATTTTTTTTTCCAATTACATGTAAAGATAGTTTTCAACATTCACTTTTACAAGATTTTGAGTTCCAAATTTTTTTCTCCCTTCCTTCTCTCCTCCCTTCCCCAAGATGGCAAGCAATCTGATATAGGCTGTACACGTGCAATTATATTAAACATATTTCACAATTACATTAAACTTATTTCCACGTTAGTCGTGTTGTGAAAGAAGGATCAGAACAAAAGGGAAAAACCATGTCTCTCTCTTTTTCTCTGGACCCCATGTAATTCCTAAAAAGTCTCCTATTAAATTAGATATGGGTGGTGATCTTTATTAGTGGAGGGTATTCCTATTCTGAGGAAGTCACATATCTTGACATGATCTCTGGCAAATCACTTCATCTCAAGTCTCAGTTTCCTGGATTGTATAACGTGGTTACATTAGA